TCGGGCGTGTTTATGGCTATTGCCTTTTTGTTCTTTGTCTTGTTGAGAGTATCGGTTAGTAGGTCGTTGTTAAAGAAAGTTTAATATCTAGCTATTTTCTATACCAATTATAATAATGGTGTGTAGTGTGGGTGGGATGTAGTTTGGAATAAAAACCTTTTGGGCCAACTGGCACTTTGTATGTCAAGCTGCTGCTAATAAGATTTGAAAGCAGAAATCATTAATTAAATCCGATTATATGCTTTCCAATTTCATTTCCAGTACTTTGTTTCTCAAAACACTCTTAATGGCTCTACAAGCCCTTCAAGCCCCCTCGCCAGCCGTGTCGCCAAGCTGTAGTTGCATTCCGCGGGAAACGGCTTGCTGACATGCATGGTCATAAACCATGTAATTGACTCGCCCTCAATTTTCCCGGTTTAATTTAACGGCGGACAATGATTTTTTACATCCATGCTTTTTGTTGCTAAAGCATTCTTTATGGAAACCACTGTCTTTTTATTCTTTTTTTGTTTGTAGAAAGTAACAAAAAAATCCACCTTTTTTTCCCTCAAAAAGACAATGAAGGTGGGAAGACAAGAAAAAATGAATTACAATACCTTTCTTGTCTCTCTTTATTCTAATTTTATTTTTCTCATGTCGTGTTTACTAGATCTCCCCGACCACGTTTTATTGCGCATTTATAACAAGAATAAGAGAGTGTATATTCGTAGAAACAATAACTGTGATTCCTGGGTTTATACCCAAAAGACTGATTCACTAAAGTACTTTTCGCTATGCAACAGGCTAAGGCAAATAGCTCTCTTGGGCGTATTCGCCAAAGCCTATGTTTTATTAAGCAGCAGCTTGGAAAGTCCAGACTATAGCCTATGTGAAGGACTACCAGTACACGAGCTAGCCGTCTCTACCAACGCAAAGCATGCCAAGAGCGTGCAAGTAGACGTGTCCTATGAATTTATTCTTAATGGCTCTGCTTCAAACAAACTGTCCCGGATTCGGTGCACCAAAAGCAGATTTACCAACGTGACCACTATTGCTGTTGAGATGACTGTTGGAGACAAAACCAACGTACCTGATGGTGATACGTGTGCCAAGAATGTGAATTTGTTTATCGATGAGCTTAATCGCCTGTTTCCCAACGCAACAGAGTGCACACTATTTAGCACCAGCGGCCCTGAACCATGTTACCAAGTAGCATCCGCCCATTATGACGCTATTGTGGCTGGATTATTTAATCAAAAGGCAAAAATATATTGCACTATAAGAAGCAATGTATTTTTGTTTTGCAATTTACCAGCTATTCCAAATCTGGCATATCTAGTTATTACCAAAACCCCTGGAGCCTTATTGCTCGTAGAATTGGCACGCCAAAGCCATCAAACTTTAAAAGTGCTGTCCTTCTTTAGAACAGATATGGCGCATTTTGAGCAAGCAGTTAAAGGTAGAGATGGAACAGAGATTCAATATCCACATCTAACACATCTTGAAATCGACAATTGCCAAATCTCGCTATTCTCCGTATTCTCTCTGGAAAGAACTGACCTTTTCCCATCACTCATAAAATTTTTTGTACGTGGGGAGTCAACCATCGATACACGCTGTATTCTGGCAGCAAATCACAAGCAACTCCGAGTATTGAGTTTGAATTTAACTGGTAGTGCAGTGTTGGCATTGGCGGCTAGTAAAATATTTGTTAAGAATGGACTGCCACGAGCAACAAAAGTATCGCTTAATATTGACTTTGATGATATTAAGGACAATGCTGAGCAATGTGAGCTTGTGTGCACCAATTTACTCTGCATGGCGCCGCAGGTAGTGGCTCTAACAATAGGAATTCATACACCAATGAACTCCACCGTGCTACAATCGGTATTTGTGAATATTCCATGCCTACCAAATTTAGCAAAACTATCTGTTGGTGGAGTGCCTTTTTCATTGATGCAGGTAATTGTGATTCTCAAGCAGGCACCTAGTCTCACTAGCTTATCGTTTCCACTTTGCACGCTTGCTAATGCTCAGGGTAGTGAGCACTTGAATGAGGTGGTTAGCCCAGAGTTTGTTGAAGAATTTTACGATTCTCATGGCAAAATCGCTGACAAACTAAAGTTTGTGTATCTTGTCTACAACCATACCACTGATATTAGTAGCGTATGTCACTTTGCTTTGTTACTGGCACTAATGTGTCCATTGTTTTTGGACGTATGCTTTACGGTTCCCTTTGCTCCATTTGAGGCTGATTGCACAAAGCTAATGGCTAGTCATGCCTACAAGACCTTTAAGGATTCCTATAGCAATGTCTGTTGGCACAATGGCCAAATCGGTCACTGGTTTTAGCCATTTTAAGCTTGGCCAAAAAAGCTATCTGTATTAGCCACATGAACTAGCTTTAGGTAATTTATCTTTATACAATATATATATATAACTTTATAGCTATTGTACAGCGAGGTCGCATACAAAAAAACGCCGCCACATCGCTCACTTGCAATTACAGTCCTTCTGGCTATCTATGTGTGTAAGACCGCACTGGGAATGTCGGCTGCTTAGCTTGACAACTGAAGGTCTTGTGGTCTAGTGGTATGATTCTCGCTTAGGGTGCGAGAGGTCCCGGGTTCAAGCCCCGGCAAGGCCCCGTGCTTTTTGCCCTCTCTATTGTAAATCTTTTTTTGCCCTGTGCCATTCCGATAACCACATCGCTATCATAGCAGGCTAGAAATATATTTTTGTTAACAAGGCTAGATACTAGGGTCACTCGAGCAATTTAAAACAAGACGACTTGTTTCTGCAACGGCAGTTTTAATGTGTGCCTTGTTAGCAACAAAAATGTATTTGCAGTCCCTGTGGATACCAGGCGTAGCTTTGTTCATAGCCCTTATGAACTGAAAGTCCTCGTCATACTGAGAGCGAATGAGGTTCTCTGTACAGTAAACAAAATTGTGAACCAAGGCGATTATTTCTTCCTCGGCCTGGAGCATGTCAAGGCTGATAATGTGATTGCTATTAATTGCATAGGGGGTACCTCGAATAGTCATTATTTCTTGCGTACACCACGACAATTGTGTGCAAATTCCAGTAGTCAGCTACAATGTTTTGTTGCATCTTGGTGATTTTTCAGTGGTGGAGTGAGAACAAGGCTTAAAGAAAAATATGCGAAAAAAAAAGTGATGATCAGAAAAGAAAAAAACCAGTGTCAGATGAGCCTATTTATACCCACCGGGAAATGGCAAAAAAGAAAACTTCCGCAGCCAAGCTCCCGCCTGAGAGTGGCGCAGTTTTCCCTCTACTGTGCAAAGCTAAAAATATTCTGTGGCTTGGGCGTCCGGCGCAAAGTCTTGCTTCCAGAGCCTTCCATGCAACTTGCGCCCCCAGCCACTCAAAGAAAGAAAATGGTGGTGCATTGCCACTTTTATACCTTGCTTGTTGCCAATCCTTCGTTCTTTGTTCTCTCATTTTTGAGGCGAGAGCCTTTTATTAGTAAGGCTAGCTAAGAGTTGGGAGATTATCTGCTAGTCAAGAACCAACGGACTTGATCATTGTTTATCAGTCCATAATTAGTTTCCATGCGGAAATTGTTTTTGGTTGCTCTATTCTCGTTTGGTTACGTAGACAACAACCATCATCCATTCACTCGGCTATTTTCTCCCCCTTTTCTCTCAGTTGCAACATCCGGACAAATCTAGCATGTATTCGTCAACGCCGTTTCAGTATCTTCCACCTCACATTGTCCGCCCTATCGTCAACTATGTCGTGAGCAGCGCTAATAGTCGCAGCTACAAGGATAAGCTTTTGATTCCGCTGCTCCAGGTCTGTCGCAACTTCTGCGATATTGTACTTTTGCGCTTCTTTTGCGAGTGCAGGCCAAGTCTGGGTTTCTTTGGAATTGATTATGCAAAGCCTCATATTACTTGGCCGTCAAGTCCCTTAGAGCCTGTGTATGCTACATATCATCACTGGCCAAGTCTCTTGAGATCGAGCTGAAGATTCGAAAAGTCTGCTCAGGCGACGCATCTCGGGTGCTTTCAGCTCCACCATTTGTCGGTGTTGCCTTTCCACAAGACAGCAAGCTCTCTCTCAGCCTTATTTGGGAATCCTCAAGGGATGTCGAATATGAGGGATATGAAGACGAAGAGGATGAATATTCCGATGATGACTCTGCAAGCGACCTAGTTTGTGATATTGAAGACTTTGTTCGTCGTATCAAGCGTATGGCGCCTGCAATCAGTGAGATCTTGGTTTATTCCCCTCACCTATGGTCGAGCGACGGGGAAAGCACAGATAATTATCGTCTTGCAAACCTCTACATGGCGCTATTCATGATTTTCAAGGCAACAGTGATAGACGATTTTGCTGGCAGCATGTGCTACTCTACTGATCTGGGCCTAGTTCGCGATCTCGTTCGCCTTAACTCCCCATTGAACGCTCATTCTGACCAACTTTTGTTGCTCGCTCGACGTAATGCGCCGACTCTTCAGTACCTCGACCTTGAATATGTCCAGGCCAATGTCCTTACTGGGCCTTTGCGGGACCCGATAGCGGCAAATATGCGGAGTATTCTCGTCTGCATACGCTGGAACTGTAATCTAGGAATTACTTGAAATCTCACAATGTAGCCTGTACCTGCGCGATAGTGTTTCCCCATCTTAGGAGGCTGCAAATACAGGAGAACTATCCCTCTGGCGACGACGTACTCTTTAGAGGAAATGCAGCTACATTGGAGCAACTGGATGTGATGCTGGATCCTGGCTCCGAATAGCGGTAAAATGAAAATCACTAGATTTTTATTACCGCCACTGCAAAGAATAATCTGTGACATTGCGCCCAGCGCACTTGGTACAGGCCACTGAGCTAAAAGCCGCTGAGAGGTATTAAGCGGCGCAAACGCGGAGCAAAAGCTTCAAAGCTCGGCTTGACGATGGCCCTTTCCAACTGCGCCGCAAAGGCCAACCGCCTGTGCCAGTTCACAGCGGCATAGTCAAAATTTGGGCACGCCAAAGCCAGCAGTAGAACTGGCGTAACTGCACCAATCAAGTGCTTGTCGTGAAAGACACCCTCCATGTGCCAGCACCGGAACCGCACAGCCATGGGAGAATAGTTGGAGAGTACGTAGGGAATGAGGCCATCACTCGTGACGCCAGCAGGCAGTGGGTCTAGCGTCGGTGCCAATGCATGCAGGTTCGAGAGCAATGGAAGCAACCTAATCAGAGTCATGGCGTCCCAGATCGACAGGCGCAGCTTGGGCATTACCAGTACTTGAAGAGACACATGTTTGCTAAATAGAGAGAGCACAGGCGGAGTCAGTCGACGGGGCGCCCAGTAGTAGATCTTTCTAACGGCCGCTCCAGGCGCAATATCCATCATGAGCCGCGCATAGTCAGGTTCGCCCAAGCCATCAATAGACACCAAGCCCAGGCCAGCGTTTCTGCCACTCATTATGTCTGAAGGCGGCAACAGAATGACGTACTGCAGCTTGGGGTGGCTTTCACGCGTGAATACACCATGGCGAATTAGCGTGTTGGCTAAACTCCGGGTCAGCGGCAAATGTAAATACTCGAGAGTGGCCGCGTTGCCCCGAAAGAGCACCAGTTCGTCGCTGAATGGGTAATCATCCCCACAGATTAGACGCCGAAGACTTGGGAATGGCATGGCACCATCAAAAGAGGACAGCGGCGACATTCTCCCAATTGTGATATGGTCGATATACAAAGTCTCAAGATGCGGATACTCGACGAAAGCCCCGTCGTCACCTCGAATAATACCAGAAATGTCGCTCTCGTGGGAGGTAGTATGTAGGTACTGCAGAGTTGGTGCATTCTGTCGAATCAGCTCCATGGTCTGCAGTGCGTTGTGACAAAAATTGGTTCTTAAATGCACCAAGTCACGAATAACATCCATAAACCGAACTACGATTACCCCCTCTACGCGACTGCCAAACTTGATCCTCTTAGCAATCCGGGTCAGCGCTATGGTCAAGTACTCGAAACAAATAGCAATTGGGATATCGACATGGAATTGGCTCGAAAAC